CGGCGGCAGAGGTCACTTCTCAGCCCGGGGATGTCTTCACGTGGGAGGATGGCGGGGGCACTGAGGGAGCGGGCGGCTGCCGCGTCTGTCTAGATGGATTACAATGTTCAGGAAGGAACCTTTCCCTCCTCCCCCCCACACCTGGCACAGCATTGGGCAGCACTTTGTTCTACGAAACACCTTCTATGTGTACTATCCTTTCCATTCTTCACTCTGCTTCCCAGAGACCAAGTGAGAGAGGCCTGTGCCTCTCAGGAGCGTCAGGGACCCGGAGCCCTAGGGTGCACGCCCCCCACAGAGCCCTTCTGGGGGCTCAGCCAGAGGTCAGACCAGACAGCCCCGAGCTGAGCCCCCAGCCTCTCCCAGCCTGAGACTCGGGCTTCCACATCTGTGAACTGGGCCCCAACCCCTCCCTGCTGGGTGCACAGCTATTGTGCCAAGAAAGGAGCATGGGATTTGGGGCCAGGGACCTCCCTAGGAGTCCAGGCTCAGCCACGAGGCCTTGCACATTAGTCCCCAAACGTGAAGAGACGGTGATGAGAGCCCCTATCCTTTGCGGGGCCGAGGGGACTGGACGAGAAGGGGCTGTGAAAGTGCTCCGTAAACTGTGCTGTGTGCACTGATGTCAAATTCGGCGGGAAGGGAGCTGGTTCTAGAAAAGGCACAGAGCGCCATTCCGAGTGTCTGGGCTCCTCTGCAGCGGGTCCTACCACCCCTCCCCACCCCCCTGTCAGCCCTCTCGTGGGGATCATCTGATCTGACCCACCCCACCCTGCATAATGGTTGGCTGCTGTGGAGCAGGAGAGACAGCTGACATAAACCACCCAGGGGCCGCATGTGCCCTGCCCCTGCCTGCCCCTCAAAGAACTCCCTGCTGGTGGGAGCAATGCTGCAATGCCACAGGGCAGGCGTGATAATAATGAAGGAACTGCCGAGGCTCTCACAGGTTTATGAGGGTGTGGTTCATTCTGTTTAGGGGCTTTGCATGGGGCTTGACCTTGAAAGAGAAATGTTTCCATATGACAGAGAGACAGGGGACAGCAAATCCAAGGACAGGTGAGCACAGAGTGGGCCCCGCACCCTGTGGTCTTCCCATCGTGGTAAGTACCAGAATGTTCTCTTCCCACATGGTGAAAATAGATACAAAGACAAAAAAACAGTAAGATACTATGAATAAACCTAACCAAGGAGGTGAAAGACCTACACTTGGAAAACTACAGGACGTTGAAAAAAGAGATAGAGGAAGATTTAAACAAGTGGAAGAATATACAGTATTCATGGATTGGTAGAATCAACATCATTAAAAGGTCCGTACTACCCAAAGCAATCTATAGATTCAATGCAATCCCCATGAAAATACCAACAGCAAATTTCACAGACCTAGAACAAACTATCCAAAAACTTATATGGAACCAAAAATGACCCCGAATAGCTGTAGCAATCCTGAGAAAGAAGAACAAAGTAGGAGGGATCTCAATACCAGATATCAAGTTATACCACAGAGCCACAGCCACTGTACTAAAAACTTGGTACTGGCACAAGAACAGGCATATAGATTAATGGAACAGAACAGAGAATCCAGAAATTTACCCAAGCCTTATGCTCAATTAATATTTGACAAAGGAGGCCAGAGCATACAATGGAGTCCAGACAGTCTCTTCAACAAATGGTATTGGGAAAATTGGACAAATACACACAAAAACAAACAAACAAACAAAAACACACAAAAAACTAGACCACCAACTTACACCATACACAAAAATAAACTCAAAATGGTTAACAGACTGAAATGTAAAACATGAAACCATAAAAATATTAGAAGAAACCATAGGCAGCAAAAATCTCAGCCAGCTATCAAAGCAATATGTTTATGGATACATCTCCTAGGGCAGTGGTCGGCAAACTCATTAGTCAACAGAGCCAAATACCAACAGTACAATGATTGAAATTTCTGTTGAGAGCCAAAATTTTTTAAACTTAAACTTCTTCTAACGCCACTTCTTCAAAATAGACTCGCCCAGGCCGTGGTATTTTGTGGAAGAGCCACACTCAAGGGGCCAAAGAGCCGCATGTGGCTCACGAGCTGCAGTTTTCCTTTGACCTAGAGCAAAGGAAAACAAGAAGAAAACAAATGGGGCTACATGAAAATAAAAAGTTTCTGCACAGCAAAAAAACCATCAATAAAACAACAAGAGAGCCCAATAAGGGGTTAATTTCCAAAATATACAGGGAACTCATACAACTTAACAAAAGGAGGACAAACAATCCAATTAAAGAATGGGCGAAGGACCAAATAGACAGTTTTCGAAAGAGGACATACAGAAGGTCAAGAAGCATATTAAAAAATGCTCAAAGTCACTGATCATCGGAGAGATGCAGGCCAAAACGACAAGGAGATATCACCGCACACCTGTCAGAATGGCTATCATCAACAAACCAACAAACTACAAGTGTTGGCGAGGTTGTGGAAAAAAGGGAACCCTAGTTCACTGCTGGTGGGAATGCAGACTGTATGGAAAACAGTATGGCGTTTCTTCAAAAAATTAAAACTGAAACTGCCATTTGACCCATCCTAAGACACCCAAAACACTCATCAGAAAGAATATATGCACCCCTATTTCATAGCAGTGCTATTTACAATTGTCAAGAGTTGGAAACAGCCTAAGTGTCCATCAGCAGATGAGTGGAAAAAAACAAAAAAACAAAAAACACAAAAAAAACCTGGGGTCCATTTATTATACACAATGGATATGCGGCAATAAAAAAGGAAAAAAAAAACTCTTACCATTTGCAGCAGCATGGATGGACTTAGAGCATTAGGCTGAACAAATTAAGCCAGTCAGAGAAAGGTAAGAATCACATGATCTCACTCATATGTGGAATCGAATGAACCAAATAAACTGATGATCAAAAATAGACCCAGAGACACAGAAGCACGTACAGACTGTGGAACCTCAGAGGGAAGGCAGGTGGGTGAGAAGAGATCAACCAATAAACTTGTGTGCCTATCTAATATATGTATAACCCGTGGACACAGACAATGGGGTGGTGAGGACCTGGGGGGAGGGGGATGGGGGCAGAAAGGAGCGGGCTAGAAGAGGTTAATGGGGAAAAGGAAGTACTTATGTAATACTTCCAACAATAAAGATTAAAAAAAAACATACAAAGAGCAGTGGGAGCACGGGGTCAAGGTCAGGTGTGGATCTAGGGTGTTACAGGAAGAAAGGGGTTAGATTATGAGGGGCCTTGAGTGCTGGCGTCGAGCTGGGGCTTCATCGGGGAAGGGAGTGAGGGTTGATTGGAGTAGGGGTTCCTGTGGTCAGCCTGTGGTTCTCCCAGGTCCTTCCATCAAGGGATGGAGGAAGGACTGAGGGGTGGAGAGGCAGGAGACAGATGAATTCCGGGTGAGAGATGATAAGGTCTGAGCTAAGGCGAGTGGACAGAGCCCCAGGGAGATAGAAGATGGAGGTGCCGTCTCCAGAGGCCCTGCTAACAGTTGCACTGGACCCAACGCACAGTTACAAGCACGTTCTGCTGCCCTGTTCTGGCCAGGCCCGGTGCCGTGGTGACATCACCCAGGCCCAATGACGCAGGCACCCCAACCAAGGCAGGCGAGCCCGTGCTGGAGGCTGCCCTCCGGGGCTGCAGCCAGGGGAACAGTGAGGGCCAGTGGGTGGCTGGACAGTCTGCGGGAATCAGCTGGAGGGAGTGGGGAGAGGGGGGGAGGCCAGTGGAGGCGAGGGCCTTCTTGAGACGGGATTATCCCACAGGTGAGCACAGGGCTGGGCTCTGGCCTGGGCTCCGGGTCCAGCCTCTCCGCTAGGAGGAAGGAGACGTCTGCTTTGGCTATGGCTTCAGTCACACCCTGCCAAACTGGCGGCCAGTTACCTGAAGGGTGAACACGGTGGGGCTTCCGTTAGACACCGAAGAGGGGGACAGTCTCCCATCACTCTGGTCAGCAGCATCGGGAAAACAGGCCAGTCCATCAGGCCTCCAGTAAACCGGCAGCCTCATTTCCCTAATACCCCGTGGGGCGTGGGGACGGGCTCACTCTGCTGTGTCTGCAGGGACGGGGGCTCCCCTGACCCTGGGGGAGCAGCCTGTGCCTAGGGGCAGGAGGGAGGAGGCTGCAGGACGGGCGTTGCCTGGGAGCCATATGCAGGGGACCAGGTGTTTCTCTTGGAGACAATGGGCTGGCCGGAAGGAGGGCCCAGTGAGGACTCAGGTGGGCCTCCTGCGGTAAAAGAGCTGGCTAGGAGCGGGCAGGATCTTGATTAACAACCTTCTCTTTGGGTTAGAGACATTCCTGGGAGGTTGAGTTGCTCGGGACTGTGTGCGGCTGTGTGTGCTGCCTCAGCTGCTCCCGTGGCCTGAGCGAAGGGGACTCAGGAGACAGGGAGGGTTGTGGGAGGGAGAAGACAAGGACAGCCGAGGAGGAGGAGGACAGACGTGCTGGTCCGGGGCACACTCCTGCCCACAGGACCCTCCTCCTTGCCCTTCCTTTGCCAGCATTTCCTGAGCCCTCCTGTGTGCCAGGCCCTGTGCTGATGCCCTCAGACCTGGCATCCTGTGGGGAGCGTGACTCTGCAAGGCAGCCTCCGTCCACGTGTTGTGGGTGGGCCCTAGGTCCGCACTTGCCCATGGCCATACCCACAATGCCCCTGTGGCTTCCCCTCTGAGAGGAGGGGAGCCCACGCTTGTGCAAGGAGCTCCCCTTTTCCTCCCACCACCTCTGGCACCTGGGTCTGGCCTCATGTTCCTCCTCCTCCTCACCCTCACCCGTTCTTGTCTCCTCCCCTAGGAGCCTCCTCCTCTCACCAGGGTGCCCAGCACCCAGGAGCCCTGGGCAGTGCTGGCCACACAGAGAGCACCCCAAACGGGGAGGGCTTCCGTCAGAGGCCATACAGCCATGGGGCTCCTGCCTTGGGGTCAAGGTCAAACAAAATCAGGCAAAACAACCCCTGTGGCTCCTGCCAGCTTGAAGACTTGAGGAGCCGTAGTTAGTGACTTCTTAGTTAATTATTTCTTAATTAATAACAAACTGAACACTGCAGCAATAGGCAAGCTAATGAAATAAATGAGGCTAATCTGTTAACTACACCCATGTAGCACATGATCGGAGCGGGGAGTCGCGGGTATTTCCACTCCGTCCCGCAGAGCGGAGGCAGGACGTGGGCCTGTGGCTCCCGGGCTCCAGCCAGGGCGCCAGCCAGGCTCCCTCTGGGCCCGCAGACCCGGGACTCGGCTGCCCCACGTCCTCTCCTCACCACAGCGCAGTCTGGGGCTGTGGTGCCCCACACACAACAGTGTCACCCCCGCTGTCGCTTCCCATGAGCTCAGACTAGGAGATGCCACCTGTCGCCTTTGGGATGTCATATGTCCACTGCGACTTGTAAACAGGTTTACCACCACGAGGCACCGGGAGGAAGGCGGGCGGAGTCGGTCGGCCTCCCGAAGCGCCGGCCCACAGCTCGCAGAGTCCCGGCAGCCGGCGTCTCTCCACGTGGAAGCCCAGGGCCTCTCTCCAGCCCTGAGGGGCTTGCTTGTTCCGGGAGGACAGAGTGGCCCTCAGGACAGGGCGCTTGGGGAGTGGGCGAGCTTGCCTGTGCCGGGTGGGTGGTGGCCCTCCACCGGCGGGGAAGCCCGGGGGACTTCCTGGGACACGCCGCCGTGAGGGGGCCGGCTCCCAAACCTGCCGCTCCTGCTGCACAGCAGGCGCTTCTCGTCCAGCAGGGACAGGTGGTATTCGCACAGGTCGATCAGCGAGGCCACCTGCTGGTGCAGGGGCAGCATCTTGAACTTCCTCTGCGCCAGGTAAAAGAAAGCCTCTACGAAGGCCTGCAGGCACATCCCTGTGGGGGAGAGACCAGTGTGAGCAGGTGTGCGACAGCTGCCCGGCTCCAATCACTGCACTTCCCACCAGCGTTCCCATTCTGGAAATGACACAGGGCTCAGTCACAGGCTCCTACCCACCACACGCCCAGCTGGGCATACACAGCCCTTGGCAGATTCAATCCTTTAAGCAACCCTATGCAGCAGGTTTAATTAGCCCCATTTTACAGAGGAGAAAACTGAGTCTCAGAGAGGTGGGGAGACCTGGGCCAAGTCCTCCGGGTGGAAGTGGAGTTGGGATTTAAGCCTAGCCCAAAGCTGTAGCCCTCTGCACCCCAAAAAACATTCCTGGTAAAAGCCAGGCCCTGACTTTGATTCCACCCGACGGAAGACAGTTACTCAGGTCAGCCAATCTGATGCCAATGTTTCACATCTGGACAGGGGTGCTGGCTTTGTGGGTGTATTTGTCAAAAGTCATCAACTTGGACCTGAGATGTGTGCATTTGGCTGTATGTAAATTTCACCTCAAAAAAGTAAAATGCAACTGACCTCTTCTCTCTACCCAAAACTATATTCTGCATCGTATTAATAGTAGTCCTCTCTGTGCTCCTGGAATATCCTTTCTTATTCTTGGGATCTGAGCTCCAAATCATCTACTCAGAGACCTTTCCTGGCTCCCAGCTTAGACCCGGCCCCACAGCTGCCTGCACTTCCTTTGGAGCACACACCACGGCCTGCTCAGTGCTCACCTGTGTGGCTCTTTGACACTCCTTACAAGGCCTTTTCGAAGTCAGTATTATGCTCTCCGCCCCCCCCCCCCCCCCCCCCACCGGCTTACAGGTTGAGTAACTTCCTTAAGGTCACACAGCAGAGAACAATGGCCTGGAAATTCAAACTCTGACTCCCAACTCGTTTAACTAAGTTGTGCTGTATGAAGGCTTCTGAGTCTTCCCAATGGCCAAGTGAAAATGAACCCCAGGACCCAAATTCATGGGATCCCCTGGGTTCCCTGGGGAGGGTGACACGAGGCTGGACGGAATCTGATCTGAGTGGCGCCCAAGACCCTGCAGTGTTTGCGATGAGGCCGGCGCTGCCGCTGCCGGCCCACACCTTCCCAGTGGCCTTGCTTCTGGCTCAGAGGCATTATTCACCCACTTCCGCCACCACAGGGGGAGCCAGGCCTGGAGTCTGTCAATACTGGGCTCTGTGCGCACCCTGGGACCTCAGGGCTCTTTTCGCCTTGGGAACCTGAGCTGAGCAAAGTTGTTCTGTCTCTTTCCATGTCCACCAAGGCTTCTTCGCGCGGCTTCTTTTGACTCCAGATGCGCTGCAAGTCCCCTGCTCTGCTTGGCCCTGACAGGAGGAGCTGACAATGAGAACAGCCCTGGTGTAAATCCCGGTAATGTTCACAGAGCGCTGGCGGGACAGAGAGGCAGGGAATCGAGAGGCAGACGCTTCCTAATCACCGAGTCCGGGGCCAGGGCTCTCCTGGGATGTGCCTGCCCGCGAGTGTGTCACCGTAGGCGGGAGAGTCAGGCGCATGCGGAGTGGAAGAGGTCGGGATCCAGAGCCAGGGAAGCCGGGTGCCATCCCAGCCCCCAACTGTCCTGCTTGTGATCTAAACAGCACGACCCAGGGTGTGGTCTGCAGCCTGGTGCCACGTCCAGGAACTGCGTGTCCCGGCCCTGACAAGATAAGGAGCTCGGCCTGGAAGGAAGTCCCCCTTCTCATCAATCACCTTGTTCAGTTCAGCTGGCAGCGCCTTGAGGCACGTTTCCCAGCAAAGGCGGCAGCACGCGTCCGCATGCCGGCTCAGCCTCCTGGTCGGGACTGAGGAGCAGTGCGTGGACGGCGCCTGTGAGCAGCTCGAGTCCACAAAGCCCTCCCCGGCTTCCACATGCACCCCGGGCACCCCAATCCTGTTAAACGCAGATATGAGGGAGTGCCTGAGACCTCGCATTCCTGACAAGCTCCCATGATGCCTGGCTGCTGGCCTGGGAACACACTCTGAGCATCAAGGGCTGAGCGCCTGCTACTCAGCAAATATTTGTTTCCTCCCCTTGGTTGAAAGCAGACGGTGATTAGAGCTATAATGTACAGAAAAACACACCGAGGACCTTTCCCGGGGAAAATGCATGGCTAAGTGATTTGGAAGAAATTCTAAAATGAGAAATGGGATTTAATGTTATACTAGGTTTGCTTCTCTGTATTTTCTGTAGTAAACACATATGAATTCTAAAATAGGCCATGGAAAGAGGGGGTGCAAGGGCCACCGCTTTTAATTATGAGCTCTTTGCTACTATTTAAATTAGAAGTTATGCACTTGCATTACTTGGAAAAGAATACAATATAAGCTTTCTGCACATATATTCTACTTTGACATCTATTAACTAACACACATGGGGAAAATAGACAAAGTAAAGGGGAAAGGGACGTCGTTGAACTCAGAGTCAGGGGCCAGCAGTTTGGTTCTGGTGAGGTCTCTCTTCCTGGCCTGCGGTCGGCCGCCTCTCACTGTCCTCAATGGCAGAGAGTGAGCCAGCTCTCTGGTCTCTCTTCTTATATATGGACACAGGCCCATCAGATCAGCGCCCCAACCTTATGACCCCATTTCACCTTCATTATTTCCTCAGAGACCTGTCTCCAAATAGTCACATTGGGGTTAGGGATTCAACATATGGACTTGGCAGGGACACAAGCCCACAGCACCCCAGCATGCTCAGCTCTGTTCAGGTGCACCCCAGCACCTGGGGACACTCTCCTACCACTAGTCAAGTCTCTAAAATGACCTGAGCCATTCACCAGAAATATAAGTAATCCTACCCTCTTCCCTATTCCCCATCCCCTAAAACTCCTCGCAGCTCTGATCAGAGCTGGAAGCATGCCTTTGGTAATACTGCTTTAGTGACCTGTCACAGTAAAAGTAATGAAAGGAAACAATAACAGTGAGTATTTACTGAGTCCTCATTAAGTGCATGGCCCTGGGCTAAGTGTGGCTACTTAACTTAATTCCACAGAAACTGTATGAAGCAGGTAGGTGGAAGCATCAAACTCAAACCCGTTTTGCATTAGAGGTCCGTCAGAGTCACACACAGCTGACAGGCGGCAGACCCAGGTCCGCTATCTTGACTCTTTACTCCACGGCTGCGAGGAGTGTACTTCCAGTTGCAGAGAAGACAGAAGAGACGCCCACCTTGCAGGAGTGAGGGATGGCCGCCTCCTCATGGGCTGCCAGCACCGGGCGCAGCCGGGTCTGCCAAGCTCTGTACACGGCCGTCCCCACCTGCCTCCCACGCCCCGAGATAAGCTGTGGAGTATTTTTGTGAAACTCCATTCGGGCTAACGGATGTCGCTGGAGAAAGCGGCCTTTGAAACGTTCCCGTTGTAGCCGTACGCACGTCTCTCCCCCAGACGGCTGCTTGGCTATTGGGATGCGGCCCCTGACAGAAGATGGCCTCATTCTGTCAATCCGACAGGAGAGGGCGGGCCCACGGGCTCCTACGGCTCCAGTCCTCCCTCTCCGCTCCCAGGGAGGGGTCCTGCACGGGGCTTAGTGACAGCCCTGGTGGTGCTCTCTGATAATCCCATCGTCTATTTTGGGGCTTAAGGATGGAAACAAGAATAATACCTGCGAGTGCACAGCCCTTGCCAATTTATAAAGAATATCCGTCTCCTTATCTGGCCCTTAGAGCAATGCTTGGAAGACGATGTTACCGCAAGTGCTCCCCATTTACAGTCGAGGCAAGCAGCTTGTCAGGCCCCCTAAGTAGGTGAGGCAGCACTTACACCCACACCCATCTGACTCCCAGGCCCAGCCAAGTGCACGCTCTTGCCTACATCTGACATCCACGAATTATCTTCTAGTTCACAGGGCACATTTGCATATGAGATAATTAAATCACTGTCGGCTGCCAGAGATGCTACCCCAGACTGGCTGGGAGATGTTTCTTTTCCTCTCGAACACACCGAGCTCCTTGCTAGGACTTCTGTTTCACGGTGCTGGTGTGTTGGGCTGGGGCAGCCCTTTCCAGTCCTCTCTCTCTCCCAGCCCTTAAATCTCCTCCCCATTACTCACCCAGAATAGACGTTTCTGTCCCACAGTGCGATCCTAAATGTGTAAGTACACAGCCTTCCGTGCGGAAGCGTCGGTAGGAAATAAAGCTGAGCGATCTTGACTGGAATTAGCTCAGTGATTCCTCTCCGTGCGGTGGAATGTTCCCCACAAGAGCGATCTGTGAAGGCGGCGCGACTGCGGGTGGTTAATCACCAGCTTCCCAGTCCGCTCGGCAGCCCCTGCCTGGCTCCCGGTCTGCTGCCGCCCGGGGTCTCTCCAGGCCTGTGTGTGTGTGTGTGTGTGTGTGTGTGTGTGTGTAGGGGAGGGTGTCTTGAGGAACTGCACAGGGACAGCAAACCTGGCCATTCCCTGTGAGGTGGCATTCAGGTCTGTGGAACAGGGACTGGCAGTCAGACGGGCTGGGCTGGGTCCCAACTCTGCTACTTACTAGCTGTCTAGCCTCTAGTGAGTCCTGCCACCTCAAGGTCTCTGTTTCTTTGCCTGGAAAGTGGGGACTGTACCGTCTGCCCCTTTTACAAGGCACCGCCCAGAAAAGCTCCCTACATGCTTCAACATAGCCGTGGTGCCGCCGCCCGTCACCCCCACTCTGTTGCTCACGCTCCCCTCACAGCGACCGCCCGCAGTGCTGAGAACACTGTTTACCCTGCCGTGCAGGGGGCTGGCTGCTTGTCTCCACACGTGACTGTGGCGAGGCGGAGCGGCTCCTGACAAGTGTTTGCGGGATGGATGAGCCCACGGGCGGGGCCACAGGAGGAAGCCCTGCAGGGAGGCCGGGTCTTGCGCCTGTGCACTGCGTGGCTGTGAGCGTTACCTCCAGCGCCTGGCCTCCCCTCTCCCCTCTGTAAGATGAGCAGCAGCCTGGGCGATTTCTCTGGATTCCAGAGGCACTGGGCTGATGGCAGCTACGGAATGTTTTAAAAATGGTAACTAAAATCACACACCACA